ACACACACACACACACACACACACACACACACACACACACACACACACACAAACACACAAACACACAATAATATGCTCGTTTTGTCTCTGTCCCTTCATTTTAGTTTTCCTTCTCTTTTAACTTCGTGGATTCTGTTTCCCAATTTTTCGCCACAGTTCAAATACATGTACATGCAAACACACAGCCACACCTCATTTACCATAATATCAAACTTCAATAGACACTAAAAGAGAGCGATTGTTTACGTAATCATGATCATAGCATCCTTTCTCGTGTTCTTTAATCAATAATTAATTATACGTCGTCCCATGAAATGTCACAGCTTTTGTATCAACCCCTGGCCAGCCATTAAAAAATACATTGTGATAATAGTGATATTATGTAATTTTACCTAGCGCTAAAGGCACTTTCTGGCTTGGCAACAAAGAGTTAATTAAAGGTTGTCTTTTCCTTTAGATGTAAGTACGACTTCTTGAATGCTTCTGACGCAAATGATTGTATTTATCTCCCACCCTTTTGTTTTTATCAAGTTCACATGTCCAAGTCCATGTGAATATTTTTAACGCCAAGAAAAAAAAGAAGCTAAACCCAAGGTTCAAATCCGAGAGGACTCAAATCTAAGCTGTCCTTCCAAAGAAGTTATTTCCTACTCCCATTGTCAAAATGATGTATAAGAGCTGTGTGTTCTAATCCACTTCAATAATAAGAGTAGGAAATCTTGGAATCCTTCACTCTCAGGAGAGTAGGAATTCAACTTCATGAAAATCGTGTTGCTGCATTCAGCTCTTTCCTCGAAGCAAGTCAGTGTTCATGAAGTATTGTTTTCTCCTTTGAAATGTAGGTGCTTTTACTCCTCCATCGACTCTTTACAGACCTGCAGAAGGATCATCCAAGCCAAAAGCAGAGACGAGTGGCTAAACAGATGGGCCAACGCAGAAACAGGAAGATCTCTCTTCGGATACATGGACAAACCCAACCCCAAAGACCCTCCGAATCTCTTATGTAGAGCCGATCAGACTTTGATCTTCAGAGCCTGCACAGGACACTCACACACCAATAAGCAAATAAACAGAATTAACCCCAAGTGGGAACCCCATTGCAGACACGAGGAGACCGTTGAACATCTTCTCCTTCACTGCCCAAACCTGGTAGTTCTTCGACGCAGGCTCCTACACACACCTATAGACTTACAAAGCCTGCTCTACTCTGGCGTTGACCAGATGACAAGGACAAGTGGTTACTTAAGGAGGCATTGCAGCCAAGAGCGAAATGCTTGCAGCTAAAGGTATTTAAAAACAACTAACAACAAAACGCCCCCATCGACACGATATATATATATCAATTAGAAGCAGGGTGTACTACCCAGGCTGAGAAGGAAACAATTTTATCAGCAGAAAGACCAACGTAGTCGATAAAATATCCCCCCCCCCCACACACACACTCTGCTCTGTCCTGGGGAATCGAACTCCTGCTCGTAACAGTGAAGCGCCTCACCGCTACACCACCGACGCCGATTCTGAATGTTTGAGACCGTTTTAAAGAATTAGCATTGGGAATTAACTTCTTGAAAACTGTTATGAAAGTTCTTGGCAAGAGACAAGAGGAGTCGAAGTTGTATTAATTTTCTTGTAACCCTCCTTTATGCAGGTCGGTGTAAAAGTGGGTTTGAATTGAACCCTTTCAAAATGTTTTTTAAAATCTTGTTGGGAAATCTTATTGATGTATGTCGCAGCTTGCTTCTCAGTTACAACTACTCAAAGCCCCGCCCCTGATCTCTCTCTCTCTCTCTCTCTCTCTCTCCCTCTGTCTCCCCCTCACCCCACACAC